GTTAAACGCAAGGCGATTCCAGGTCGGTCTTTTTTATTGCCTTTCCAAATACCTTGAGCGAGAGCAGTGTATTATGAGACCTGTCGGCTCCCACAAAAAAAGATCCGAGTTATGGAATTTTGTAGCAAGCACCCGTCAGTTGACCCTTGTGGACCTCAATCCACTTTCCCTGGTACCTATGCTGCTCTGCAACCGACTTACCGAAAGGAGCTCTTCGACTTCTACCCGCCCACCCCTCGCGTTCAGTGTCCTATCTCCTACACGCCTTTGCTCATTTTTCCCGGCATTCAAGTTGCTAAGTGACTGGAATTCGGATTTTCGAGACCGTCTCCGCCCAAGTCGGGGCGGGCCCAACCCACTCTGTAGGTGATTCCTCCTTCCCATCAGGTGATTCCTTGCACGCCTTAGTTTACTTTTCTCGTTGTCCTGGCTTATTCTCAACTGTGAGTACCGTAACAGATATAACAAGCTATGGTCATTGTCTTTTAGCAAATAAATCGCGCACATCCGGAGTGGAAGCTAACGCTGGACGAAACGATTCCATGGAAGACGTTCTGTCGAAAATGCAGAAAACACCAAAGCGGCCGTCATCAAACGCCAAGAGAAGCACCCTGAATGTAACAAGCAAAAGAGCCGTGGTCGCTGATAACTCGCATGAGTGAGTGCTTGCAATATAAATTTAGTCACGATGAAATTGATTGGCTGCACTGTTGAGTATACTGCACAATTCGATGGAGATGCGGACGTTTTTGGCGTCGTCAGGTTCATAGTTGAACACAAGTAGGCAGCCATGAGTGAACTCCTTAGGGTCCAATACATTACAAGCAGGATCTACACCCAGCCTCTCATGTTAGGTGGTCTTGATGGCCCATCCAATACGTCGATCCGGAGGCGTTGATGATCTTGATGTGGTAGTTGTACTTGTCGTTGTACGCGTGTTGAGGACTATCTCGGCGTTGCCCTATTGTGAGTGAGTGTTGATGTCGCCAGGTAGCACAGCAGCCATTTTTGTTCTACTCATTTTTTAATCGATCCCGATGGTCTCAAAGAGAGAAAGAAACATAGTGGGCACAGTCCACGTGGCGGCATCAACACACAGCCCAGCGCGAAAGTCATCAACGATCGTACGACGTCAAGCACACGCTCCACATCGAGGCCATCAATGCTTCCGATCGACAGGCTGGATGGGCCATCAAGATTACCAACTTGAGGTGGCTGGGTGTGGATCCTGTCTGTGGTGTATTGGACCCTCACGAGTTCATTCTTATGGCGGTCTCCTGCGATGGATCTGACGAGCAACGACCGTATCACCGTCGAGTGGTGCAGCCAAGCAATTCCGTCATGAGTGGTTCCGAGGAGATGGCATGGTCAGAAGGAAGAACTTCTCCATCAAATACGATCCTCGTGAACGTTACTAGGTTATTTAGTGAACATCAGTTTTTATGAGCAGAATCACTATTTTGCTACTTGATTCAGGGAAGAAGATGTTACCATGACAAGTGCGGTGCCTGAAGCAGCCAATGGTAATTACTCAGTTCAGCAAGCCAATGGGACATATGTGGTTCAAAAAGATGGGACATTTGTGGTTCAAAAAGATGGGACGTTTGTAGTTCAAAAAGATGGTACATATGTGGTGGAAGCAGCCGCTCCAAACGGGTCTCAAGTGCAACAGCAACAAAACGCTACGTTTACCATCGAACAAACCGAGAACGGTCAACCTTTTGTACACGAAAATAGTGCAGTCGGTTCCTCCAAGGCAACGAATACTGTGGAACCTGTGTTCGCAGTGCCAGCTCTTCCTAAACGAACCACGAAGAACACAGCGAAGACCACCGTCGAACAGAGGGAGAAGAGGATGGTAGGGAAGTTATCCTTTGAAGATTGTTAAACAAAGCGACGTCATCAATAATCCTCAGAATGCTTGTTTCAGAATACGTCTCAGAAGAAGAATGCTTCAATTTTGGAGATGATGGACTTAGATATACCCTCGCCTGGAAGGACTCTTTTTGCCGCTCTTCCCTCTAAAAAGGTAAATTCTGTTGGCAGACAAGAGTAATGTTGTCTTCGTCGCAGATTACGGAGCGTGGTTGGGGGGTGGGTGGCGCGGCACTAAAGCCGTTTTCTTCCAGTTGGTGGAGAACTTGTCCAACAGCTCGTTGACAACGAGTTTTGTGGCGCCAAACCTATCCCCCGCTTACGCCCTCATCCGCAGCGAACGAGACTATTCAACCTCTCACTTATCCATGTACATTTAGCAGCGGACGTTAACAAAAACACCTGTCAAAGCGAAAACACTGGAGAATGAAGGTAATTTTAACCTATTTTCATCGTTTTCAGAGTAGATGTCAGAGGAATGAGGGTTTTCTTTCTTCCCAAGCTGATATTTGTGCCCTTCTTGATTATATGAATACCAGTCGGATCGCCCGGCTGACGCCGAGCTCTCCTCCTTCTCTTTAGCTCGGCTTCGCCGAGCTGGCCTGGCTTCGCCAGGCACCTTTCCCTTGGGCGATTTAGAATGCGCTAAATGTGCCAAACGGTGGCAGTCATTTTTTTATTAAACTTCAGAAGTTTGAGTTGAAAAAGCTCAACATCAGTCATTTTCTACCAACATCTGGTTACTTATGCTTATCAAAGACTTTCAGCTGTGAGAAGGCTGCACCAATCACTAAAGAGCGCAGCTCCGATCGGAATTGGGTAAAGTTAGTAATCAGTAATCTGCCCGAGTAGTCCGCATGAGTCCATAACAACCGGAAGAGGCATAACTGTACGGTCATGAGTGGCACTGAAAAGGAGAACTTCACACTGCTTGTACATGTCAAAGTGTGTGCCGATAGGGCTTCCCCACCCCTAATTGTTGGGTGCACTGCTTCTTTTGCTCAGTTGCAACCGATAACACCTAACACAGCACAACATCACATAGCAGAAAGACTTACGAATTTTTTTTTTGATTTCT